CAGTGTTTTGGGATGAAGAAGGTGCCCTCTGTCTACTAGTAGACCACATATAACTGATAATAATACATGGACTAGATTTCAATAATCAAAATAAGGTAACTTTCATCCTTAAAAAATCTTTAGCGTGTTAAATTACCCTACAACTAATAACCAATTAGCTAAAGTATAATTTAGAGTGACCTGGACACCATTATCTTCTTTAGGAGGCCAGGTAGACTAAATATTAATTAGTATGGCAGTTGTTGTGTTATTTTCATCTTCATAGAGCGTCAAATAGTAGCCCGAAGTATTTTGTTAACTTTGGCGTGTCTCCTATGATTGCCTAGTTTACAACATGTACTTGTCAATCTGTTTTCTCTTTATTTAATAGCTACATATATGATCAAAACATCCCTGTGAACTTGTAGACCATTATTTTCATTTTCATTTTCTAGATGTGACAACTGGGCCACAAAGATAAGTTCCTTAATTTTCCAAAATCGCTTAGTGAGACTAAAATTAGGCAAATGGCTTCTGGGGCCTGTGTTCTACAGGTGTTTACATGTACATATTAAATGTGCATTGAAGCTTGGTCTGTCACTGCTGAAGGGAATGCATCAGATATTAGTGTATAGTATTTTTACTTGGCATTTCAAATATAAGATCCTGTACTATAAAAAACACTTTTTGTATTGGTGGTAGCCCTTTTACAGTTTTAAGACCCTATAAAATATTTTAGCTTCACAGAAAAGCAATAATCTTTCAAATATGTTTGAAGTTATGTCTATAAAAACACAATAAATGGCAAACTTAAGAGTATAAAAAATCAAAATAGCACCCAGACAATGAGCAATCTGGTCATTGTGACTGATGTACAAACAACATACACAGAAATAGTAAAATAATAAGTACAAAAAGTTACACTTAACAGAGATTGTGGGCGGACTCATTTATTTTAAAGACTTTGACCTTTATTATGTAAGTAAAGAACAAGATTAGCAGCTGGCAAAATAGTGAAAGTGTACTGGCAAACCATTCCTATGAATCTCTGTTAAATAATGTTAGACATGATGATGACAGCTTGTAATCTGTGCATTTAGGAAATGAAGTCAGGGGGATGATGATTTCAAGGATAGCCTGGGGAACACCCCGCATCAGAAAACAGAATGAATTAGAGGGGTTTGAAGTACATTGATCTCATTCTTTTTAGGAAGGTACAATCTTAGCAGAAACAGTAATCACAGTATTACTTGTTAATGAATAAGGATGGTAGGATGCTGGGATCACAGTCAGGAAACCACCCACTGCACCCTACACTAAGATTTTGACAAAGTTCTCCAAGCACTGTAGTGAGAGAAATTGTATGAACAGATTTAGACATGAGAAAGCACCACTACTGGTTTATGTGGTTATTCTAAAGAATACTGAAGGATGAAAAGTCTGAGAGGATTATTTTCTAAAAGCTCACATGAAAGTTGAGCATCCTCTGGAGAGCAAATATTAAGCCAATAGATTTAAGAACAGAATGAAAGTCTTTAGGCCACAGAATGAACCAAATTATGAAGATCTTCTGAAAGCGAATGTGGGTAGACAGGCATTCCTAAGGAAAAAAATCTACATTTCTAATCCATTGGTTTAAGTGGCTGAGTGTTCAGAATTAGACAATAAACAAGGAAGATCAGAACAAGAATTTCAGTTGGAAATTCCTTTTTCTGTGGTTTTGGTTTGAGGACAGAATTTCTCTGTGTAACAGCCTTGGCTGTCCTGGAACTTGCTCTGTGACCAGGATGTCCTTAAACTCAGAGATCCACCTGCCTATGCCTCTAGAGTACTGGGATTAAATGCGTGTGCCACCACCACCTGGCTCTATTGGAAGCTCTTAAGGTATAGGCGTTTAACAAATGTTTGGTGGGTTCCCATGGTCACATGTTGAGGGACTCAAGTCTCAGAATCTACAAAGTTAGAAAATGGCACACGAGAACTTGTGGTGCCTCAATAGAGAACGTGAACATCGGTTAATAAGCTGCAACAGTACCATAGTACCATATTTTCAGAGCAGAGTGCAATAGAGAGAGCTGAAGGGCAGTGCATCACACAGGACTGGAGGTGGAAGCTGTAGAGGCACAACTCTGGAACTCAATTCTCAACCACTTAATGGCTGTGTGACCTTAAGAAGATAAGCTAAGAATTCCTTAACAAAATATTAGAACCTTTAAATAAGTCAGTGATTATGAAGCATTTTGAAAGATGACAAGTCTATATTAAATATAAATCAGTTTGTAGTTAAATATAGTTTAATATCTTTAATTCTCCTTATTGATTTTAATTCTGGGCTCTACTTTAATTCTTTACAGTTGCCCACTTCTTTCTTCTAAAGGCTATGGTACATTTATTTTATTCTACTGTAAAATTCTCCTGGGCCCTGAATAAAGTATTATTAAATTCAAAACTCACTTCTTGTGAAAACTAAATCTTAGGAAAGATAAAATCAATCCCTTTCTCCACAAAACAATTACTTTATAAAAAACTCATAGACAGGTTCTCTCTGGGCATATCACAATGTAATCACTTGTTTCTAAGCACTAAATTGAGAAAATTTTTTCTCTGAAGGGATATTTCTCATGACTTTTTTCTTTTATATTGTTTCTTCAGTTTTCAAGACTAAAATGAGCTTGTTATACACTTTGGTAGTTTGTGTTCAGTGGCAGGCAATCCATCTTTAGCAGACTTATACACTGCATCCAGTCAGTGCTATCAACTGTGTGAGCTGCCCTAAGCACACAATTTCCATTGTTCACAACAGCACCTTTAATTGATAAGGGTATATGTCATATATCTGGATACCATGAGTGTGGACAGTATTTCTGACATTACATGAATGGAGACGTTGAGGCAAAATGATGAGCCATAACTGAATATGTGGCATCAAATCAGAGAGTCTTTCAACATGGACTGCTATGATATTCTTCTGTAGTGTCTTCACTTAGGAGATATGTTATGATGCCAATGTCAATTCCTTTTTACAATCTATTATGCTACATCACCATGAAGATACTTATGAATATTGGGACCTAGGGCTTACCCTCTATGGCTTAGCATGATTACTGGCCATTATCATCTTTCCTATTTGGTTCATAAACCATATTAGACCAAGGTCCACAGAAATCTAAGCAGTCTATAAAAGGCATGAAGAAAATACAAGACAGTGAACACACAGTCTATGCTCCAACACTTCAATGTGTTCCTATTACACACACACAAAAATGCTTGAACAATACATAAATCAAATACCTGATGTGTGCCCAGATCTTTATAAAGATATTGAATTTGGAATTATATATTAATTTCAACAGAGACAAAAATATCATTTTCCTTTAGAATTTTCCTACTATTGAAAACTGTAAATAACATTCATAGTTTGTGACATAAAATTACATAGTCAACAACACTTGACTTAGAGGCATGAGTTGACAAAACCCCAGTTGTATAATAACCATAAAACCTGCAATCCAATATAATTTTAAGATATATGCATTTCTCTCTGAAATTTTTTAAAAACATTTGAAAGATGTGTTGGTTACTTTTCTTGTTGCTTTGACAAAATGCTAGACAATAGCACTTTAAGAAAAAAAGTTTATTGTTGCTCACAGTTTGAGGGTGTATTCCCACGTGGAAGGAACATGAGATAGCTTGTCACTTTGCATGAACAGTCAGGAATCAGAGAGTGAAGAATACAGATCTCCAGTGCAAATTCTTCTTTTGTATTCAGTCCATGACCCCAAGACATAGAATAGCAATATCAAAAATTATGGTGCGTTTTCCAATCTCAACTCATTATAGAAATTTCTTAAAAGTCATATGCAGAGATTTATCTCCTCAGTGATTCTTAACTCTGTCCATTGGATAATTAGTTTTAAAAATTAGAAGGGAATAGTCATGTGAATGAAGTAGTAAGAGAAGGACAATGAGCTAGATAATCAGGCCAAAATTAGTAATCTCTAAGGGCAGCAACATCACATTCATCACTGAATATATCAATGTAACAGCAGCTTATCTGGAACCTTATGAAAAACAAGAACATTTAATCAATAATCATTATTTCAAACACATTCTAAACTTAGCTTTTGGAAAATTGCAAGTAAATGCACAGCAGTTGCCTTGCATTTATTTGGGTTATCTATGAATCCTTAAGGAATGCAGTTTAGTGAAGGATGTGGAAGCTGAAGGGTTTTACCTAACACAAGCAAATCACACACTTACAATGAAGTGACAAAAACATTGGCTGATATGAGCTGAAACTATTGGATAATTTTGGAGATGTAATTCCATTAATTTCCATATGTTCTCTGCTTTCCAGTGTTATCAGATGGAAAGCACAGGGCTAATTAAAAAACGGTCTTCTGTATCATCATTTACCTTCGCAATTTCCCTCTACATCTGTTGGCTTATCAATATCACAAATGCACAAGAATAATAAACAAAAATAAAAAGAAAGTCACTAGTTTACTTAAAAGTATAAGTGTGTACACTTAAAATTCATCAAGGGAAAAGGCTACATAAATACACACATCTAAACCCTTGACATCAACTGTTGTTTTAACCTGTTCCTCTTTCATGGTGACTGTACAAGGGAATTGCTGGGGCTCTGGCGTTTCACATCCTCCTCTGTGCTGGGATATCATGGTCTATGTCAGGGATTCATTTAAACTCTGTCCACACACACAATGAGATTTATTTACAGCAGCTTGTGTTTTGATACATGGAAGAAGAAATGTAGACACCTGGAACAATAACATGTAACTTTGCTATAGTAGGCACATGCATATGTAACACATGTAATATATGGCACATATATATATTAGGAATATATAGTATATATATTAGGCTTATGTATATATGTAATTCTACTACTGAAAACATATTTCCATGCAAGCCAGTACAGTATTTTCCCCCATTCATACCAAATCAATGTGTGAATATTTAAGATTGTTATATTAAAATAAAGTTTTCATATTTTATAGGCTTGAATCAAAGGAGCCATTCCTGTCTGTTGGGTAAGTAGTCATCTAAATATTTTAAATATGAATGTTTCAGTGTATGTTAGATAGGACAACATAAATGATATTTATAGTCTCTAGTCTCCAGCATCATATTAAAAACCATAGCCTGTCACTTCCTAAAAAATGCTGACATTATTCCATAAGGACTCAACTGGAACACTCCTAAAGCTATTTTGTGACCTCATACATTCAGCTAATAAAAACATAAGGATCTCTCTATCTCCTATAAAGTTGTCCAAGTGTCTTAGTTAGGGTTTCTGTTGCTATGAAGAGACATCAAGGCCATTACAACTCTCAAAAAGGAAAATATTTGATTCAGGCTAGCTTACAGTTTCAGAGGTTTAATCATCATGGTGGGGGGCATGCAGGCAGATGTGCTTGTGAAGGATCTGAGACTTCTACAACTTGATCCACAGTCAGCAGAAGCAACTGTGCATCACACTGAGTGCAGTTTAAGCAAAGGAGACTTCAAAGCTCATTCCCACAGTCACACACTTCCTCCAACAAGGCTACACCTATTCCAACAAAGCCACACCTCCTAATAGTGTCACTTTTGGGGAAGGACCATTTTGTTTCGAATCACCAAAGACAGTTATGATGAGTATTCTTTTCATCCAGGAAACAGAGGCTCACATTGATTTTTTAAATTCCTCTGACTCATAAATTTGCCATCCCTAGTCTTATTAACCATTTTGTACTATTTCTTCCAACTCTGCTCAACTCAGTGTTTCTCCTTCCCTTTCTGACATTTTTTTTCATTTTGTCTTATTTTTTACATGTGAATACCTTCTCTCCCTCCCTCCCCTCCCCCAGACCTCTCCCCCAGACCCCTACCTAAGTGCTCACATGTGTTCCTGTGAGTTTGGTCAACTGGAGTCAGGGCTCAGGGAAGGATTCAGGGAATAATACAAATTATCTAATGAACACTTGACCAGAAATTGCAAAGCAGTTGTGAGAGGTTCTGTCAACTGCACTGAATAGAATTTCTGCCTGATGGCAGCTTCAGTCCACAAAGATGCTCATGAATCCTTGACTGGGATGGCCTCGCAACTCTCTGTTGCAATCAAGCAGTCAGGCATGCTGCTGTCCTTTGGGTATAGACTTTTGACTTCATGCACCCCACTGTACCACACTCAAGTACATCATTAGCTGTATTCTAGTTTATTGTGGAACACGATTATTACCCAGAAACCCCTGAGCAGAATTACTACAGCTTTGAGAACTCATCATATGGATACTCTTCTTCTGTAGAGTATCTAGAGTATCTTCCTTTTGTTTGTACTATAATGGCTCCCTATGATATGATATCTCTCATCCTGCTCTTCTCTATTCTTCCCCCAACTCAACATTTCTATTTCTCCATTTCCTCCTCTCCCCTCCTCTTCTCCTCCTCTCATTCTGGCAGCTCCCTCTCCCCTACCCTCATGGTCAGGAGTTCCTGCCCATTCCCATTCTCTGGGGTCCATGCATTTATCCCTTAGAGTCCTTGTTTCCTACTTTCTTTGGTGAAGAGGATTGTAGACTGGTAATCCTTTGCTCTATGTCT